TCTAGAACTCTAGAATGCAGTATTTCACTTCAGAGCACTCAATGACTTTGTTTACGTCTTAATGATTTCCCTTTTTAAGGTTACTGATCACTTCCTGGCTGCCTTACAGTGAGACACTCTGGACGTTAGTACCTGCGGTTTACCATTAACTCTTCTAGTGTTTGTGATGGTGGCCTTTGGCTGCGTGCATGATCAACAACTCTGTCAAGACAAGTGACATTCATTTTCACTTTGAAGCATTGCATAATGTCTTTCTGTGTTATAGTCTGGACTGTTTTGCTGAACCATGGTGTCAAACTGGAGGCCTTTCAGGCCGCAGCTCTGCAGAGATTAGTGTTTTCCATCTGAATTCAACTCAAGAAGACTTTGCTAATTAGCTAATGAGTTGAATTAGTTGTGTTCAATGAAGAGGAATGTGAATGTCAGCAGTGTCAAACTGCACTGCTGTAGAATAGTTTCACAAGCCAGGCTTCTGCTCATTGGCAAAGCTGGTACTTTTTAACACAGAACAAGACCCAGAACTGCCTACCTTGTCAGGAAGAGGTCATTTGACATGCCAAACAACGAATGACAGCCTGCTGTATTTGGCGATTGTTAAAAAAGCCACCTTTATGTGGGTCATTCTACCGAATCGGTTCAATGTCAGAGTTGAAAACACATTTCAGACTTTTTACTGACTTGGACTTCAGCCTAAAGTCCTGTTACTTTGAGTGACCATGTACCTTAATTATCATAACACCACCAAAACTTTACCAAATGTTTCTGTAGAGACAATTTTAACTAATTTTGAGCAGAATACAGTTATGCTAGCCAGTGCATGACTAGTAAACACAGTTCTGAACACTTGTGCATACCTAAAGTCATTAAAATACGAAAAGTGTTTACTTAATTACAGATGATAGTGACGATTATAATGTTACACACTGATTTTCAGACTTTGGAGCACAGTTACTTCAAAACAATGGGACCTAACTGCTCACCATGTGGCCATGAGGGACAGGGATGCGGTCTCACTTCCTGCTCTAAGATGGGGTGTGGCTAAAATAGAGCTCTGCCCATGGGCTAAAACTCTGTGTTTGCGTAGTGACATGAAAATGAGGGACAGCAGATTTTTATTTAAAAATTAAACTCAAGATAAATCAAAATCTTTCAGCTTCACTTTAAAAAAATCAAAAAGTAAGTAAGTATTATTTTCACAAGTTTAAATTTAGGGCGTTAGGTTTGGGAGAGACAGTTCCCAATAGAAAGTACCCTGTAAATGATGATTTTGTACATCGCTGAGGTAAGAACAAAACCTCATATCTCCATTTTTGTCATTTTTCAGTGCTTGACATGATTTGAAAATGCCTGTTGTCCTTTACATTGTGAGTAAATTTCATGAAGCATGGACCAAAAGAAACGGCCCAAAATGACTTGCAAAAAAAGTCTGGTTCCGTTGACTCACATTAAATGTAAAGTGTGTTTTTTTTCCTCTTCCTGTAAAGGTATCATTATGGAGATGTGAGGTTTTGTTCCGACAACAGCGATATATTTAGCTTCTATTAATGCCTTGGGTTTAAATAGATCATAATATAGTTCTTGTAAACATGTAAGGTCGGAATATGTGATTGGTTTTTTAAATAGTGTTTTTATTGCAGGACCGCAGTTTGAACTAATTTGGCACTATGGTCCATATATGTTGCCCCAAAAGGTTCTTTTTTGTCACAATGTCCAGTGCGGGCTGCTGTTCACTACTGCTGTCTAGAACTTAACTTTGTCCCCTGACAAATTGTGAAAACTGTTGCCTGGAGGTGTGGATACACAGATGTGTGAATAGGCAATCAGAATGCAGCTGATATTATCCCAGTAGTTTTGGCCTGACACTCCATTTCTGTGCTAATATCAGACTACAGTCATAATCACTCTACAGGTGCTACTAATGGTACACACTTAAAAGTGATGGTTCTTCAAGGGTTCTTCAGTAAGGAAATGGGTATATATAGAACCATGAGCACTCAGAGATCCCTTTGCATGATTAAAAGGTTCTTTGCATCATGAATGGGTTCTTCAGACTGATGGAGAGTGTGCTGTAGATGGTTCTATGTAGAACCTTAGTTGTTAAAAGCTTGACACCATAACAGTAGAAGAACCCATTTTGGTGCTAGATAGAACCCTTTTCAAAAAAGGTTTATATAGAACCGTCTACAGCACACTCTCCATCAATCCAAAGAACTCTTTCATGATGCAAAGAACCCTTGAATCATGCAAAAGGTTCTTTAAGTGCTCATGGTGCTATAAAAAAACATTTTCTTTACTAAAGAACCCATGAAGAACCATCATTTTTAGGTATGTAGTGACTCATGACACCCATACTCTAATTCCATGATGCAAAGAACCCTTGAATCATGCAAAAGGTTCTTTAAGTGCTCATGGTTCTATATAAAACCACTTTCTTTTCTAAGGAACCCATGAGGAGCCATCATTTTTAGGTGTGTAGTGACTCATGACACCCATACTCTAATTACAGTTCAAGCTGTTTTGTGGTTTGTAGCTTGCATTAAAGAAAGCCTCGCTGCCAGCTGGTCATATACGTATCGCAGTGACCTTGACTATAAATAATAATAGAGTTGAACGGTACTGGGCACCAGCGACCACTCTTTCCTTCCTGTTCCTCTTCGAGCGCTTCCTGTGCTCCTTCTGCGCGCGCTTTCGCTGCTCTTTAGCACTGTAAGAGAGCGTGTTTGTGTGTGGGCATGTGGGTGGGTGTGCATGCATGAGTGCATGCTTTTATTATTCAGCAGTCTCATTTGTGTGCTCGGCCTGTTTTGTGTGTGTGTGTGTGTTTCTGTTTTGTTGATACAAAACAGATAAGAAAAGTGTGGTTTTCAGTGTCCTGTAGTCTATTTTTGTATCATTTATTTTAAAAATAGGACAAGGTGTTGCAATGTTCCTGACTCTACAGAACTTAAACTTTGCATATCATGCAAACCAAATGTTCCTTGCTTTTTTGAAAGAGGGCATTTGGGGTAGCGTAGTGGGTGATGCTACTGTCCTCCATGCAAAAGACTGAGGTTTAATTCCCTGCCTGTCATGTGCACCATACTACACTGTTAGAAATAAAGGTTCTGTGCAAAAACATTTTTTTGTTCATCAAGGTACAAACAATGTAAATGTACCCTCAAAGGTACAACAATGGTTATAAGGTCCAATTGTTTACCTTAAATGTGTTTTTTTCTGGGTGAAAAGTACATATTTGTACCTCTTCATAACCTAATGTTTTAAAACAGAACAGTACAATAAAAAGCCTGGAGATGAGACGGGGTGTGTGGAGTCAGTACAACTTAAAAAATATAATATCAGTGGATTATGGTGCAATTATGTTCCCTGACTAAAGGTACTGAGATGTACCCTGGAGGGTACCACCCCAGTGACAAGAGGGGTACTGCCCCACTGACAGCTTGTTACCTTTTTTTCTGAGAGTGTACACCAATTAGAGTCCTTTGGCAAATGCTAGATTCATTCAAATTATAAACTGGATAAGAGTGTCTAGTGAGCACTGCATCAACTGAAGGGCTAATATCCTACAATTTTGTAGGATTTTACTGTTTTTCTTGAGGCTCATGTATAAAGTTTGTATGAAATTATGCACCAAAAACATTACACATTTCACATGACCATTTTCCAACCTCTCTTTATCCCTTGGAATGAAACAGGCTGGATGTGTGATGTCACAAAAGCAATGCATTCAAAATGGGCTGTTCTGCTGATCAATTTCCATAATATGAACAGTTCTTTATTTAAAATATTCTAAGGAATAAAGAGAGGATGGAAATCGATTATGGAAAAATGAATCAATTGGCTTTGGTGGAAAAAATAAAGTACAAAATAAATGTTGGATATGAGCCTTTAAGACACTAATGCACTAATGGTTCAAGTTTTTAAAAAATGAGTAAGATATGAACTTCCCTTATAGACACACACACACACACACACACACACACACACACACACACAGGCTGATCCTCAGAGATCAGCGTTAGTGCCAGAGATCAGTATAACAAAGGTAGGAATCTGACCGTAGATCAGGACTCTTGCTGTGTGATGGGCTGGGAATAAGTGGACTCTCTGTGTTGACACTGATAACAATGGTGTGTGAGCTTTCTGTGATTTCCCAATCCGTCCCAGAGAATTGGGGGAATAAACAGACGTTTCCTTTTGACCCATTAGTCTCTCTCTCCCTTTCTCTCCCTCACTCACACACTCACGCACATCACTCTCCTTTCTGGCACAGAACTAGCACTTCCACCATTTATGTATGATTTCCTTGACAAGCTGATTTCTCCTCACTCCATACTAATAATATACATCCTCCTGTAACACTGTCAAGCTGTTACCCAGATAGAGTATAGGATGCAGAGGTTCTGGATGTAGTAAACAATTCCAAAATTATTTTAATTTAATTCCAAAATTAAAAAGGAAGAAAGGAAACTAAAAAAGAAAGAAAGAAAAAAGAGCAAGAAGAAATCAAAGAAAGATGTGAAAAAGGAAAATAAAGAACAAAAACAAGAAATACAACAAATACAACGAAAGAAAGAAAGAAAGAAAAAGATGAAACACGAGAAAGAAAAATTAAGAATGTAAACAAGAAAAAAGACTGAAAAAGGTGAAAAAATAAAGAAATGAGAAGAAAACAGGGGAAAAAAGAGAGAAATGTGAAAAGAAACTAAATTATGAAAGATGAAAAGAAACAAATAATAAGGAAAACAAGAAAATGCAAAAGAAAGATTGAAAAAAGAATGGAGGAGAAAGGAAAGAATGAAAGATGAGAAAACGCCCTATTAAATTTCCCTCCGTTCCGTGGTTCCGTCTCTCCGGGTTTTCCGGGTCTCTCCGCTCGGACTCTTTTGTACTGAGCTGTCAAGCGCGGGCCATTGTAGTCGAGGCATCTCCCACTTCTCTCTCTCTCTCTCTCTCTCTCTCTCTCTCTCTCTCTCTCTCTCTCTCTCTCTCTCTCTCTCTCTCTCTCTCTCTCTCCACGCCCTCAGGCTCGCGCCCCTCTCTGCAAGACAGTGAAAAAAGAGAAAGGCGTAGCGGGTTGTGACTCCCGTTTAACATTTTCAGTCGGTCCGTCCGTTCTCGCTCCACCTCTCTCTCTCTCTCTCTCTCTCTCTCTCAGCGGCGGCTCTCTGTACGCCACTCTCTCAGGCGGAGTAGGAGCGTGCAGCCCAAACCGAGCGAACCTCTCTTGGCTCTTCTTTTCTTTCTCTATTTTAACCACCACACTGACTCCTCCGATCATGTCCGGCGAGGACGCGCCCAGCCAGCAGCAGAACGCCGACGAGCAGAAGCAGCAGCAGCAGCCGCAGGAGAACACGAAGCCCGCCGAGTCACCCAAGACGGAGAACAAACCGGAGCCTCCGCCCGCCGAGGCCGCCACCGCCGCCGCCGCCGCAGCCCCGGCGGAGAAACCCGCCGAGGAGGATGCGTTCAGCTACCGCGCCCTGGTGCTCACCGGCTACGGCGGCTACGACAAGGTGAAGCTGCAGGTGAAGAAAGGGAAGCCCGCGCTTAAGGCTGGCGAAGTGATGGTGCGCGTGCGAGCGTGCGGGCTCAACTTCGCCGACCTCATGGCCAGACAGGGGCTCTACGACCGGCTCCCGTCACCGCCCGTCACACCGGGCATGGAGTGCTCCGGCATCATCGAGGCGGTGGGCGAGGAGGTGACGGACAGAAAAGTAAGAGCCGTCTTTTATTAAAATGTGTTTGAATCAGTGTAAACAGCACGGAGACGAGCTTAAAGCTTAAACTCGCGTAACTCGCCTCGTTTATGCATAATTTTGCCATTTGTGGCTGTAACTTACATCACATTTACCTCAGTAAACTGACAAGGTAAACTGCAGAAGTTGGCGTATTCTTTTCCGTTCCACCTTAAATGGCGCAGCAGTTATATTCAGGCTCCTGCGGGCGCCTGAATTTAACTCCTGCGCCATTTAAGGTGGAACGGAAAATTAGAACGAGAGGCTGGCAAATGGGAAGCCAGGTTCAGCCTCGTTAATAAAGATGTATTCGGTTCATTTCAGCTGAACTTTAATTGTCCTCACAGGCACTTTTAAGGCAGCAATAAACCATAACACATAACACAGGACTAGTAAAGAGCCTTAGTGTGCGGTGTATGAACGTGCCTATCAGGCTTTATAGTTACAGTTCACACAGACCGTAAATTAAAGAGTGATTTGGACCGCTTGGTTTCATTAATGGCCAAAGTTTAGCATCAGTAGGCTAGCAGGTAGGCTATTGTGGTACAGGCATTCATATCTCTGTTTTTATCTGGCTAATGACCAGTGAAGACCAGACATTAGTGGTAGAGCTGCTTGATAGGGATTGTTATTCTTTTTATGGGCCAAATTTAGCTTGTTTAAAAGTCAGCAGCTGATCTGTGAGGAGAAATGTGCTTTGCTTCGGAGACAATAGGTGAATGTCGTGAATATGGGGAGGGGGTGTAGCCTCACTTCTTTATCGCCGGGTGGGGACGGTCTAAGCGCCCCCACAGAGACGCCACTTGCTCTGGCTTTTTGAGTCGAGATGTAGGCAGTGAGGTCTGAAGTTGGCACTGGTTTAAATAAGGACCGGGAGTGGAAGGTGCACCCAGCCCGCCCCACCGAGCCTCCGCTGACAGTGACTGACAGGCTGACAGCAATGGTGGACCCCGATGAACGATTAAACATCGGTTTTAGCTGGAAAGAAAAGCCCCCCCCCGCCCCGGGGTGAAGCGATTCCAGAGGCATGTGGCCGCGTGGTGACTGTCACGGGCGGGTTCGGAGTGCGCGTGGGAGGGAGGTGGGTGGGCGGGGGGGTTAGGTAGGGTGGGGTAGGTTTTGGGAGGGTTGGAGGGGGTCGGTAGGTGTCTCGTGCGCGACGCGGGGAAAAAAGGGCGAGGCGCGAGGTATGGAAGTGTGCGCGAGCCTTTTGTCATACCGCCGTTTTGAGATACGGTGACACAAATCAAGCGTTGTGTTCATTTTCTTTAATTAATTACTTAAGCTTAATATTTTATTTGCCAAATCTGTCTGTAAGAACCCACTTTTACAGGAGCGGCTACGCCCATCTGTGCAGGGCGCGCGCCATGTACGCATTTCGTGCACCTGTCGTCTGATGAAACGCTAACAGCCAAACTTTCATCCTTTATGCAAAATTAATAAGCATGAAAACGTATAAATGTAAATAAAACTCGCAAAGGAATCAGTAAATATGTTTTAATACACGCAGCGAGAGCTGTCTGGTCACATGATGCTCTGTCGCTTCCATAGGAACAAATCGATGAGTCATGCGTGATGGTATCCATGGCGACGCCCTATGGCAACGCGCTCTGATGGCTGCTGGATGAAAGCATCTTTGGCTAGATGTGTCGCACAACTGAAAGAAGCCGATGGTGAAACATTTTCTGAATCTCTAATGGCTTCCTGCTGACTGTGTAGTGCACTGCGTGGTCTCTACACCTAAATAGTGCGCTGTGGACTATAGGACAGTTTCCCAGACCAGGATATAGGGGAATTTGTAATGCTTATACAGCTAGGCTTAATCCATGTCTGGGAAACCAGCTGTATAGAAGAGCATTGACCAATAGAAAACTCCGTGTTAGTGCCCTTGATTTGGGAAGAAACATTGGATGAGCAGGTGTCTACAGAGTTTTGGACATATGGTAATTGTCCAGTAAGCCATTTGGGGGTCGGTCATCATGTGTGCTAGAAAGCAAACGAGAAAGAGAAGAGTAAGGCGTTGTCTCGCCAGCTGAGCAAAGAGATGTCAGTCCAACTTTCCCTTGACTCGTTCATCCTTGAAATTCGATTAAAAGGTTGTCCACCCAGTCCTGTCCATCAAGCGTTATTGCTTGTAGACAGATGTGTCTCACAGGCTTTCCTACTGCCACCTAGGCCGATCATACGGTCTGGATTTGCTGGTAAACATGTGCACTTTGGAATTTGCTGATGCTGACTTTAGTATAATGCTGCATTTTAGCAGCAGAGGAAGAGAAACAGCCACTGTCTTTCTCTCCATCCCTCTCTCTCTTTCACACACACTCAGCTCTTGTGGGTAATAAAAGTGGTGAATGAACGCCAACTGTGACATCACCTCACACGACTTAACAAAGGAGGAATAATTCTTTTACCGTCCGGATGTGTCCCGTCTTTTTCTTTATCAGCTGCTTAGCATGAGTAATGCATGCGAGACACACGTACATATACGGCTGCGTTTATCAGAGAGCCCGGCTGCAGGGATCAGTCACATCTGTTCTCAATTATCTTTCCCCAGCCCACACTGTCAGGATGGAATTTCCTCCTGCTTTCTCTCTCCTCCTGCCTGTCTGTCTGTCAGTCTCTATTTTTCTATGTCTGTCTTTCTTTCTCTCTGTCAAACTTTCTCTCGTCTTCCTTCTTTCTATAACCATAACTCTGTTATTTAAAAAATGATGAATTAGGTTTCATTTGCCACTGCATGGACAGCTACAGCTCCGGCATAGCACTTATTAATACCACATTTTATAGAAAAAAATTGTTTGGTATTATTGATTTACTCTTATATAAAACAATGGAGTTCTTTTGTGTGTAGAAACAGCCCTGTCAGTCAGATAAACTGCTAAAGTTTAGGACTTACGATTAGGATCTTTTGAGATATCAAGTAATCTGCTGATCATTATGACTGACTAAATGAATAATCAGAGTTTTTTATGAATAAGATAAACAATAAATGTTGACTTAAAGAAATAGTTTGATACATTTTTTACACAGTTTTCCCATTTACCCCTGTTGTAGTTAATCAGCCAAGACACGTTTGGTTTCCAAGTTTTGCTTGTGTAGTTGAGCGCTGGAGCTATAAGGCTAACATTGCTACACTTGAAGGCAGTAGTCACCCAAATCTTCGTAAGAATTTTTGTAAATACACACATGAAACTTCTCTCATCAAGCTTCCAAGTCTTCATTACGGTTGCTCAGCCTTGTCAATGTGGTTTAGGGCACAATATGATTTACTAAAGAAATAACATGATTTTTTGTGAACCATTTCTTTAACTGAACATGCATAACAAATGATTAAAAATACTGCAGTATTTAAAAGATTATTTGGCAAAAAATACATGTAAATGGGTGTGTCCATCAGCAGGAGAATTTAAAATATGCATAATCATCATGTACATTGCCAACTCATCATTGCTGTTTCATCCAAAAAAGTAATATAGTAATAGTACATATTTTTAAAATCGATTCAGTGAGTTTAATCATGAACAGCCCTAGTAAGGATGTGTGGCTGGATTTAGTTCTGTATCATAGAAAAAGAGCTACTGGACAGCAAGAACAATCTTATAGCATTATTCTACTGCAAAACAGTGATGCATAAATGAAACGAAGGCAGCCGAGTCCCTGCACATTTTCTGCTCCCGCTGGTCATGAGTGCCTGTAACTAACTTCGGTGACTAATATCAGCCAAGTAAATATAACATTTGGCTACAGGTTGGAAAACAGAACATTACATGGAAGAGAGGAACATTTCAGTGATGTGTGGTATAGCTAATGCCATATTGAGATCACAGTTAAAAAATGAAAGGCGATTTTTGTTTTAGGACGAGTTTCCACCTAAAATAATAATCCTTCTTCTTCGTTGTCTTCTTATTCTTTTGTGCTGTTAAATCTGACTCCTAACAACCATATAGATAATGTTTTTCTAGAATATCCTGTCTTCTGTTTGGGTCTTTTGGCTTCTGAATGGCTTGTTCAAGATCCTTCTGATTGTATCCATCCATCTTGGAGCATTTACATCCTTTTCCTCTTTTACCTTCAATGGTTCCAAACATAATGATCTTTTCCAAGAATTGGTTCTTCTCAAAGTATGTCCAAAATCAGAGAGCTTCAGTTTGGTTCTGTTGCTTTGAGTGAGAGGTGAGGCTTGATTGGGATGGAGATTGTGTGTTTTCTTTGCAGTCCAAGATACTCTCAAAAGTCTAGGCCAACACCAAAGTTCATAGGCATCAATATTTTTCTTGTTCAATATTTTATGGTTTATTGTCCAGCTTTCACACCCATAAAGAACCACAGAGAATACTATAACCTGGACAGCTCTGATCTGTAAATATAGATGGTCATAAAATCACAAAAGTACTTCTCATTCAGTCATAAACACATAAACATAAAGTAGTATTTAATGCAGAAACTTTTAGCCAGTGGTGTGTTAGCTGTCACAAAAGCAGACACGCCCCACTGAGAACTGTATAAACTGTGATAAAAAATGAGAGAGATAAATGATTAGAAAATGCAACAGTGATGAGTTGGAAAATGAAATGGTCAACTAAAGATTAATGAAGTAAAGTTTTTACATTTATTTTATGAACTGTATGGAGACTTTAATGACCAGTTACAAGCTTTATATGTGTGTGTGTGTGTGTGTGTGTGTGTGTGTGTATATGTATATGTGCCAGTATATTTGTGTATATATATTTTTGGCCATGTAGTGTTTTTATATACATTTTAGGTTTTTTGAAGGCTCCCTAGTTTAATGTTTTTTGGAGGCCTAGTTTTATAGTTCATTCTTTTTTAATTTAGGCTCTTACTCAACTCAATGAATTGTTAAAATAATCTGATTGCTAGATTCCTAATATATAGTTCTATGCAAAAGTTTGGGCACCTCTGGTCAAATGACATATTTTGTTGTCAGCACTGCACGTTTTAATACACAATTCGCTGCTGTCCGAACAAAACCTCGTATCTCCATTTTTGTTGTTTTTCAGTTTTTGACATAATTTGAAAATGTCTGTTGCCCTTTACATTGTGTGTAAATTTCATGATGAGTGAACCAAAAGAAACAGCCCAGAATTACTTAGAACAAAGTCTGGTTCCATTGACTTACATTAAAAGTAAGGTAGACTTTTTCCTTCTCCTGTAAAGTTACCGTTTTAGAGATATGAGGTTTTGTTCCGACAACAGCAAATTACTGTTTATGTGTATGTTTTATTATTTTGCAATATGTTAAACTCAACATAAGCACAACAGTTTTAAGAAAAATTAAACTTGTTCTCTACAGGATGTGTTGACTTATTTTCACTTTAAAAAAAGTCAACAAATGTCATTTAACTGGGGAAATTCAAACTTCTGTTTTTCTGGTAGATTTGTTAGCTGATGTTAAGTGTGTGACTAAGATTGCTTCCCTTAAGCTATATCTATATATCTATATATATCTATGTCTATATATCTATCTATATATGCGTGTGTGTATGTATATATATATATATATATATATATATATATATATATATATATATATATATATATAACGTGTGTGTGTGTGTGTGTGTTGACTGTGCCCCTGTATACACAGTAGCGAGTCTTTGATGCAAGGATCATTATTTAAATGTGCCGTATGCTTTTAGAGCTGAAAAGCAGAAAGAGTGTGTTTGTGAGGCTGTACAGTGTGAGTCATGATAGCGGTTGGGCACAGGCACCCACGTCTATTGATCTATGCTGTACAATGCCTCCAATTAAAAGAGAGAGAAGAAGAACAGTGGAGCAAAGGAGGAGAGACTGTGGGAGCGACAGAATTGAGAGAGGGGGGAGGGAGGAGGGGAGGGAGTGGGTAAAAGTGGGAGGAGGGGGAGAGGGACAGAGCGAGAGAGAATAAGGCAAACGATGAGAAGACAGGAATTGGGGCAGGGACAGAGTGAGTTGGGAATAGTTTGAAATGACAGAGCGAGAGCAGGGTGGGGGGAGTGGTTCAGATAGAATCGCTCTCTAATTGGACTCAATAGACAGTTATGCTCATGTCTCCCTTGAGCCTATTAGTCTGTGTATATATGTGTGTGTGTGTGTGTGTGTGTGTGTGTGTGTGTGCTTGTACTTCTCAGTCTCATTTTCAGTCTAAATGGGTTATGACTGTGTGTGTGTGATATGAGAGAGGTAGGGTTGAATTATTTTAGGTAAAATTGCACCTTTTTTAATGAATATAGTTACTAATAGCAATGTATTCTATATGTTGAGTTCCAGGCCTATTTTTGGCCAAAAAGACCAAAACATCCACTTTTTCTGGCTTGAGGCATAAACATTCAAGGCCAAGGTTTGCAAGTAACTTGTTAATTTAATATTTTCTTTTAAAAATTAAACATCTGAAGTATTTTAGCAACAACATATAGTGTAATATTATGAATTGCATTTTTTAAAAATCTTGATTTCAAACCTGCCTTTCTTGTTCCTGTTCCCATCCTGTTTATATGTTATGTTGTTTTGGCCCTCTGCTCACCACACACATCTACCCTAGCGCACACACACTCACTCACTCACACACACACACACACACACACACACGCACACACACACTCCTTCAAATTGCGATTTTAATATAAAAACAATTAATCTTGCAGCCCTAGTTTGAAGAGTGTTTGTCCAGTCTCTTGTGTATTTGAAAGTGTGTGTGTGTGTGTGTGTCTGTGTGTTCCTGCATGTGTGCATGCTTGTCTTCTTGTCTCATGCTTATTGAGGCTGAAGAATCTGGCTGCTCCCCTGATGAGAAGAACTCATCCTGTTAGAGAGAGAGCGAGAGAGGGAGGGAGGGAGGGAATAAGAGAGGGAGGGAGGGAATAAGAGAGGGAGGGAGGGAGGGAGGGACGTGGAGAGACTGAAGATAATAAAGGAGAATGAAAGACAAGAACCTTTTTCTGAATTGTGGTAATGTGTAAACTAAGATAGTTCTAAAGGCAACGCAAAGCGCATAGTTGTCTGTGTATGTGCGTAATGTGTGTGTGTGTGTGTGTGTGTGTGTGTGTGTGTGTGTGTGTGTGTGTGCGCACGCACAGTAGTGTTTCCTGTGTCTCCTGATTCCAGAGGAAGTTGTGGAAGTTTGCTGGATGAGTTTTCCTGTGTCCAGTATTGCATGTGTGTGTTAAGGCGGGGAGGGGGCTGGGGGGTGGAGTGTGGGATCTTGGGGTCTCTTCACTGCTGGTTATTTACCACACTGTGAAAGACTGTTATAAAATTGTGAATATTTACTTTTTTTAAATTGTATAGTAGTACACAATTGAAACCTTTGGTTCCTCAAGGCAGTGGTTTTGTATAGAACTGTGATAATTCAAAAAAACATCTTAGTGTTTTTAAATTATATGTGCATTGACTTTTCAGGCACTGAAAATTTCTGTTTTAAAAATGGTTAAAAATGATACTTTCGAGGTTTGGTCAAAAAAGGGAAAAAAACAGAATTTCCACCAAACATAATGAAGATTAAATAGGCTTATGACAAAATCTCAAAATCTAAGATCTTCTGAATAATGGTAATGAAAATGGTGATTAAAAATGCTGTTTGTCCCCTTCGTTTTCCTGCATCTGTCACCACAGTTGCATTTAAACAGTTTGAGCAGCAGTGGAGTAATGTCAGCTGTGTGGTACTGTTTGCCCGTTACTACAAGAGACATTAGACAAGCCATTTATAATCTCTGTTCATGTTGAGTATCAAGAGGGGACACAATACTTCTCCACTACAGGGCTGATACCACTTGAAAACAACATCCTGCTTGATATGCAGGATACAGCAAAACAACAGAAAGAGAAAGCAAGATGAAATAGAGAGAGCAGGATAAATAGTTCTTCTGTATGATGAAAAACCTGTTGTATGTAGTTATTTAAAGAACATTTTTTAAATGTTGCTATACAGCACCAAAAAGGGTTCCGCTGTTGTCATAATTCATAGAAATTCATAGAAATAAGATCCCTGACTGTAATTTTACAGGTTTCCCCAGTTGCTTTAACACACTGCCTGAAACTGAAACAGCTGTCCTGAAACTCAAACCCAAACCACCATACACTGTTTACTTCCAAAATGCCCTAAGACAGTCAGAAAGCACACTTGAGGTTTTAGCATTGCCATAATAAGCAATTTAATAAGCACTGCCATATTGTTGTTCCAATAAATCTTCGAAATGTTGAATGTATCAATTTACCAATATTTCAAGGCTTATTATCTTTACAAAATAAACTGTAAAACCAAAAAAAAACCAGAATCAACAAACTCTAATTATTTGAAACCAATACTGAAGTTTTCCACAATGATGTGGAAGGACTCCACGCCATGTGACGCACTTTTCATTTTCCTGAGGAGATGCTTGCGTTTACGGGAAACTTGCCTTCTGTGTGTGTGTGTGTTTTATATATTTTATATATATATATATATATATATATATATATATTTTCACATTTCATATTCACATCTTGGTCCTCTTTATATCGTGTAAAAGTTGGCATTTTCTAATCATTCAGACAGCTGTGATACATATGTACACATGTAAATTCTTTAAACTGTCACATTTTAGGACAAACTGTCCGAGTGCTGCCCACAAATGTATTCTTTCCTAACTACTGTTGCAAAGTTAGACATGCTTTCAAGCTTTTCAGAACTACAGCAAGTGCACTCTGTCAAAATACCTTAAAAATAGTTTCAAATGATACTTATTTGAATGCATGTGCAAGGCTACACTGTTAGGATAGATCAAACTAACATTAACACTGGGCAAATTTATCATTGACAATGTCGCTTTAATTAGCTACAGCAGTGTATTCCACATTGGTAACCCTCAAACTGGAAACCTTATTAGCAGCTTTAAGCAAAGTGTACTATGACTTTTCATTCGGTTGAATTCTGTGTTTGCCAACATTGTATAAAGCTTGTCCAACTTGGCAATAGGTGCTATAAAAGAATACATTTGTGGGTAGAGCATGAATAAAAACTACAATTAACATTCCAGGATTGTAGCTTGAATTAAAACAATGTCATAAATCTTGTTTGTGTTCCGTACTTCTCACATCCTTTTAGGTTTTCTGAAACTTAGGTCTCTAAACTGTTTTTGTCTTTTCACCCACAGGTAGGTGATAAGGTGATGGTTTTGAACCGCAGTGGGCTGTGGCAGGAAGTAGTTGTGGTGGCAGCCACACACACTTTCCTCATGCCGGAAGGGATGAGCTTTGAGGAGGCGGCGGCTCTGCCGGTCAACTATATCACCGCCTACATGATGCTATTCGACTTCGGACACCTGCGCCCGAACCAGAGCGTCCTCATCCACATGGCTGCAGGTTAGTGTGTGTGTATGTGTGAGCGAGAGAGAGCGAAAGAGGTTATTTTTTTGGCTTATAGGGTGGGATATTGTCCAGAGATGACTTTATGAAGCTGTTGACAGCAGGCCTGAGGGCTTTACGCCAATGGATATATGCAATAATATTTAATTACTATTTTATGACCTGCACACACACACACCTGTGTGTATGTGTGTGACTCGTTGCAGCTGCTGAAACTGGACTCTCGGGCTTTCGAGGGAATGAGAAAGTACAGTATTGTGTTAGAATAGCTGCAAACATCATCGTTTGAGAGAGTGAGAGTGTGCAAAAAGAAAAATAATCAAGAGTGATTTGTCTGCAGTGCTTCGCAAATGTCAGAGACCACCCTATATTTATGTGTGTGTGTTTTGGGTGGATCGAAATATCTTCTGGGACGTTTTACACAAAGAATGCGAGTGTGTGTGTGTGAGTGCATTCATGTGTGCGTAACTGTGCATCTCGCAGTGTTTTATAACAGGAGGAGTGTCTATATGAGAGAGAGAGAGAGAGGTAATATATTGATGAGTTACAATAAGACCAACCCCAGTTGCTGGATGTCCCGAATGTATAAAGACGAAACCACACTCTAATGAATCATTCTTATTAATTGGTGCAGTAATAAAACCACAATGAGAGTTATTACAAGTGTTAAGACAGTGGAGTAGCCATCCCTGGGTAAACTTAAATCAGTTTGTTTTACTTAACAAAAAAAAAAAAAATCATGCAGACTTTTTGCCTTGAAAAAACGAAATATATATATTTTTTAACAGGTTCAAGCTTAAATAACTTGATTTAACCTTAACTGCAGCAGTTAAGGTTAAATCAAGCAGCCCAATAATTATAAATAATTTCCATTGAGTTCTTTTTAATTAATTATGGTAAATTAAATCAAGTACTTTTCCTGGTGTAATGTATTGGCATCAGTTAAACAATTCAATTAAGTTAAACAAACTGTTTTGTATAGTAACGCATGAATGGCTCACATGAGACTAGAATCATCCGTGTCTGCGGCCTCAATAGCTTAATGCGTATTTGCCATTCTGTAAGCATTCATGGCGCCAGGCTGAACTGGTGAGCCTGAACGCGAAACTCTGTTATGGTGAGCCTGACACATACATGTAAAATGTGTCCAGTCTTCACATTTAACAGAGTATGCTGTGACACAAACCTTTTGCAAAGAGAATTATGTTTATAAATTACAAAAATAAGAGATAATTAACAACAAACCAGCAAAACTGCTATGAATGCTAGGAAGCTTTTTGGGCAAAAGACTCTTCAGTCCATAGGATGTATACAAATGAACTGATCTTAACTGGGTTTACCTAAGTAACTAAGGATTATACAAGAAAAAAGTGTTACAACATTTGTATTAGTAATTTTAACAAACAAGTAAACCAAAAAAATTAAGTTAGAGCAATTATTATGTTTTACAGTGTGTTTCTTGCAGTAAATGAATATGGTGGATTACTGTTGGAGTCGTTTCTTATTTACACATTTGTGATCAGGTCAGCCTTAGCATTACTGAAGACTGGCAGTTACACTTAGCATGAAGGTTTAGTTCGTAAATGACAGCATTGTTTGTATATTTGCAGCAACTTTTTAGGCCGGCTTGTATGTTTATAGACACAATCGTTTTGGCATCTTGCTGATAGTTTGTGTTCCTTAGTTTGTGTGAATAAATAATTCAGATCTGCTTGTCTCTGGTTTTGAGCCAGTGCCAAGTGTTGCCTACAGTCTTTAGTGGAATGTATTAGGACTGTCACAAGTGTTGTATTAAACTCTATATTGATCCACTTTCTCAGTGTATCAGTAATCACTGTTTGACAGTTTGCATGATAAGAATGCATAAAATTCTCCTACTGGTTTCTTACAGAGAGAAACAGCCATTTAAAAAGCTTGTTTATCTTTTTTGGGGTGTTTGAAGGCTCTGCATTACGGGTGTGCAAAAATATGCTTTAGAGACGTTTATAGACATTTTCATGATGCACAGTATTCATAACAATAATGCAGTAATATTTAGTTTTTCTGAAGTTTGAGTTTGTAAAGTTTAAAAGCTCCAGTACAATATTATCAGAAATTGAGTATATTTTAATGTAAAAATGATATAAATTGTGCATGCTGTGCTGCACTGCATGTAAACAGGACTAATTTTGCTCTCTTTGTAATGAAACATACTGTTACCAGCGCTGAAGTACAGACAGTATCCACAGCATACTCAGAAAAGCTTATAACATGATTTATCACAATAGCAATAAATACTGTCACATTTGGCCCGTTTCCTCTCAAGATGGTTGTTATAGTTAGGCTCTTTCAATTGTTTAGCCTTTCAGTGTATTACCCTCTTACTAACATAATTGATAATGACAGCATCATAGTGTCACTCAGTGCAGCAGTTATTCTCTGTTTCATAGTAAGTCTGGTCCATCCAAATCAAGCAAGCCGAGTTTTAAGGTTCCTGCTCGGTGTAAATCACCCTTCTCTCCCTGCTCTAATAAATCACACACGATTTGGCCAAGTGTTCTGAGCACGTGACCATCTCAGCTGCTCGCGATGACTGTTTTTGAGAATTGCTGGCATTCTTATGGTTTGACTAATGCACATAATGCCATTTTTGTCTGAAAATGTCATAGTTGTGCAGTGCAGTATCACCCAGTAGAAAAATTAAACCTATAGCCCATCTGTCCTATTGTCAGTACAGTGTTCAGTATAATTGTAATATGATATAATCTGTTTTGTACATATTGTGCTGCGATAGTGGCTGTGTGCCAGGTAGTCAGAGGACCTGCTTGTTCCGGTTGGGTTATTTATTTTCACCCATACTGTGTGTGTTTGTGCAATAACTAGCAACAACTAAATGCAGGATATTATAAGTTTTCTTAAGTTTTAGCTTTTTTTTGCTAAAATAAATCATAGACAACCCACTTATTTAAGGGGAATAACTTCTAATAGGTGCCTTAGATGTCTCTTTTTTATGTTATGTTGAGGTAAAGGCCTGATTTGGTTCTGCTGAACATTTATTCTGCTGTTATTGAGCATATGTTAGCACTACAGGAATTGATGCTGATACTAACAGGTTCCATAGACCCCCTGAAAATACAATATACCATGGTAATATTTTGAGATGGTTTGAAGGTCTGACACAAGTGATTACCAGCCAGCTCTAGGTGTAACAATGCGAAAATGTCACAATATAAACCATATTTTTAAACCATGATTTGATATATTTTTGGTCCAGAAACAACGCCAGCAGTTTTCCTTTTGCTTTTTAGCTTTTATTTATGGATTTATATTTTGTTTTCAAAGTCCAATTGCCATAACAGAACTGCAGTGCCTGGTGAAAGAGTAATTAGCACAAACAAGTCATTATCTCAGAAGGCAAATAAATGTAATCACACCCAGACTGCGACATCTAAGTGTGAATGCACGAACAAAAGTAAATGTCGGATTTTGTTGATTCCACATGTAATTGGCAACAAAATAAGACTCTGGAACAACATTTCTTAATCCAGCTCCTGGAAGCCCACAGCACCGCACAACTATTCCCCGAAACACTAAGAAACACTACTCAAGACTATAAAACTATCACAAAAGTCAATAAATAAAACAATGTTATGAATAGAACAGTGGAGGTACATTGGAGTCCCAATGTATGTTAGAATATCTGATATCACAAATGTTTTTTATATCTTAAGACCAAATTATGTTTAATTCGCAGCAGGTGTTGTCTGGCTCCTCTTGTATTAGAGGGAAATTAATATGGGTATCATAACATTCCATAATAGATACATTATGTGGCCAAAAGTATGTGGACACCTGACCATCACACAGACACTATATGGACTAAAGTATTGGGACATGTACACATTACACCTATAGGAGCTTTTATGACATCGCATTCTAAATCCATAGACATTAATATGGAGTTGGTCCCCCTTGTTTTCTACAAGATTTTGGAGTGTGTCTCTGAGAATTTTTGCCCGTTCATCCAGAACAGCATTTGTCAGGTCAGAATGATGTTGGGCAAGAGGGTCTGGATCCATTGTAGTTCATCCCAAAGGCGTTTGATGGGGTTGAGGTCAGGGCTCTGTGCGGGCCAGTCAAGTTCTTCCACACCAAACTCACCCAGCCATGCCTTTATGGACCTTGCTTTGTGCACTGGGGCTCAGTCATGCTGGAACAGAAGAGGGTCTTCCCCAAACTATTCCCACAAAGTTGGAAGCATAGAATTGTCCAAAATGTTTTGGTATGCTGAAGTATTAAGATTTCCCTTCACTGGAACTAAGGGGCCTAGACCAACCCCTGAAAAACAACCCCATAGCATTACCCCTCCTCCACCAAACTTTACAGTTGGCACAGTGCAGTCAGGCAGGTAATGTTCTCCTGACTTTCACTAAACACAGACTCATCCATCAGACTGCCAGGTAGAGAAGCGTGATTCATCACTCCACCGAATACGTTTCCCTTGCTCCAAAGTCCAGTGGCGTGCTTTACACCACCATGTGCATTAATCTGGAGCTTCCCCATTCCACCTTTAACAGCCTACATTCCTCTGGGAAGCTTTCGACTAGATTTTGGAGTGTGTCTGTTGGACTTTGTTCATATTCAGTCAATGGAGTATTTGTGAGGTCAGACACTGATGTTGGATGACAAGGCCTGGCTCGCAGTCGATGTTCCAGTTCATCCCAAAGGTGTTCAGTGGAGTTGAGGTCAGAGCTAGGGTAGTTCCTCCACAACAGACCCATCAAACTGTGTCTTTATGGAGCTCTTTTTGTGCACAGGGCCACAACCATGCAGGAAGAGGAAGAAACCTTCTCCAGACTGTTGCTACAAGGTTGGAAGCATGTGGTTGTCTAAAATGTCTTTGTAGGCTGTGGCATTAACATAAATATTCACTGGAACTAAGAGGCCCAAACCCTGAAAAACAGCTCCAGATTATTTCCCCTCCTCCACCAAACTTTGCTGTTGGTTTTTAGTGTTCT